CTTTAGGGCATGTTCAGGTCTGCGCACCACGCGTGACTGGACGAGGAGCTTCGAGGATTTAAAATTGTAAAATGAGGTTCTAAGTTTTGTTTTGTTGTTGAATTAGTAAACGCTAGCACCCAGGTTCGGTCCCCACTCCGAGCGATTCCAAAAAATGTTTCTTTATTTTATATTTTTATTTTAACATAAACATTATTTTATTTTATTATATTAAATTTTGTTTTATTATCTTTTTTGTTTATGGTGTTTCATGTAATTATTTCGTTATTAATCACATTTTTTGGAGTTTAATTTTAATTTTAAATTTTTTTAATTTGGTTCCTCCTACAATCTGCACGGTATGTCAGACCAGGATATTCCGTAATGTGAACTTCGGGGGCCCGTGTTGCGCAGCACGATCGGGAACCTCAACCGCGACGCCACCCACCACCATCACAGGACGGCAACCACATCAGCAGCGCACACAGCCAATGGCGACACGACCACACACATCTCTCACACCCCGCATTACCACACGTCTCCCGAACCACATGAAGTTCCTTCAATTTAACTGCAACGGGCTTCAGAGCAAGATCGAGGAGATAACCGTCTTTATGGGAAGGCATGGTATACTGATAGCTGCGGCCCAAGAGACGAAGTTGCACACCAATTCAACATTGTTGAATTGTGCCGGGTACAACATGCACCGTCGAGATCGCGAGCGAGATAATGGTGGTGGCTTAGCGTTCATCACGCACCACACCGTACAGTATCGTCTTATCGAAGCAGACATCGACCGCAGGGATACCACCCTAGAATGTCAGGGCATTGCTATCCGGTCAGGTCCAAAAGACCTGCGGGGATTGGAGCAGGCGTGTACGGCCCCAGGCTGAAGCTTTCGGTGCGCCTGGGAACCTTCCCAAGCATCTTTCAAGCGGAGGTATATGCCATCAGTATGTGCGCAGAGATCAACATGAATAGGAACTATAGGAATGAAAGGATACTTATACTAAGTGATAGTCAGTCGGCACTTATGGCTCTCTCAGCATTCGAGATCAAGTCCTCCTTGGTTTTGGGATGTGTCGAGAGTCTTAATGCTCTGGCGGAGGTTAATGAT